ACAATGCACGGTCTCTTAGGACGAAAGGGACAAAATGCACCAACACATATGCGCACCAAGAAACAAATGAGGGCACGGATATTTGAGGACAATGGGACAAATGCTCACCACATGCTCGGCCTTGGACACTCCGCCACTAGCATACGGACAAGGGGATGGCGCACGGATTCTCTCGGACTACACACGCGCACGGTCTTCCACAAGCTCTCGGATTCTCTGCACGGGCAATGCACATGAGTTCGGTCCGCAACACTCGCACACACTTACCACACGGCATGGCTAATGAACAAAATGTACTAACACTTGGACTTAAATGCACACGGCCATGAACATGAACTCGGAATAAAATCCGAACAATTTAGCTAATCTCGTGATTAAGATAAATTAATCACTTAATTATGTTTAATTATCCAATTAAACATAATGCTAAATTACCAAAATTATTCCGAACGTAAACGGTACGTCGAAAATATTTTCCGGTAATTTCAACTGAAATAACTGAAAATAATTAATTCCGAAAATAATATCGGAACTAAAATATTATTAATACTGATAAAAGTCGGGATATTACATTATCTTATAAAAGTGTCCCATTTCAGTCAGTGTTAATCATCAACTCACTTAATTTTGAATTGTTGATTTCTCAGTTAAAATCAAGTCTAATGTTCAGTATTCAATACTGAATCCTCAAGTCATGTCAGTGATAAGTATAAGCTTCATGTGAAGCTTGTACATTTCAGTTTTAGTATTTCTGAGGACGGAAATATTGTAAGGAGGGTGGATTGTAACGCCCCAAGTTTTATTAATAAAGAAAAATACTAGATTTTAATTTTAAAGCTAGCCTTTGTTAATAAATAATTATGTTCATGTTCAAGTTCGACTATTAGTCGATACGTTATTCGATTTGATAATCGAATAAGTTTTCAGATTTAATTCCGATTCATTTAATTAGTTAATGAGTTCGGAATTAATAAGCCAAGTTGACGAACTATTCGAAATATTAATGTTCGGATAAATCGTCTAAGTCAAGGATGTCCGAATAAGTTCCGAGGTCAAGTTGTAACCAAAAATGAGTACGTTCGGTTAAGGTTACCACATATGAACGTCGTCATTCTTATACAGCGACACGTTCACATTTGGTACACCGTCCATCATTAGTTTATGTTGAAACAATCATCATTAAGCCTTGCTTAATTAACTTAATCCATGTTTAGCTAATTAATCACGATTAGCTTAAGGTTAATCATGATTATTTAAATGTTAATGATGATTAGTTTAAGCTTAATCATGCTTAAGGGTAATTGTGCTTAGTTAGTACCAAGTACGCTTAGTTAGTCCATAACTCACGCTTAGCTTCCTAATGCCAAGAGTTATTGCCGTGAGATAAGTACAACCTAATAGCTTCGCACTGATGGCACGACGAGAGCTCTAGCGAATGACTCGGCACATCCTGGAGCGCCACCTCGAGTGCTGACTAAGCCACGCAAGTGCCACGAGAGCACGCGGTGATGGCAAGTGTCGCCCAACGAGAAGAAGTCGTCCTTCACCTCCATCAATATTCGTATTTATAAATAGACATAGCCGTGAGATTTTCCCACAGATTTTCATGCAAACCGAGACTAATATCAGCTCATTAACTGAGTGAAAATAGTGAGGAAAGTTATAGGAAAATCGTAGGAAAATAGCTAAGGTTAGCCGAAGCGTAGGAGAAACACACGCACTACACCGAACACACCGAGCAAGCACGCGCAAGCCACCTTGCATTCCTCGAGTAAACTGAAGGGCATACATTCCTTTACCCTCTTTTTATGTAGTTAAGTTCATATTAGCAAGATCATATTGATATCATGTCGTTCGGTCTAAGTTTTGTACGAAAATGGCCTCGGAGGTGCTATATAAGCTCCCTCCGAGTGATTTTAAAATCTAACCGGCAAGTTCCGAACACTTTATTCATAATTAAGTAATTTAAGTCAAATCATGTACAGTCATAAGTGGATTGCCGGAAAAAGTAGCCGGACGGCCGGCGAAATGCCGACCGTGATGCCTACCGCACGCGGAGTGCGCGCAGGCACGCCGGCAAGCCCAGCGAGTACACAGGCAGCGTCCGCGCGCCCAGTAACGCGCACGCGTGCCTAGTACTCGGAAGCCAAGCGTCGCGATGCCGCAGTCGTGTGCGTAGACGTGCAGAGTGCACGCACACACACACGGCAACGCGTTACCGCGACCGTCCACTCAGTCCACATACATAGCAACGCGTCGCACGCCCAACAGCGTGTCCCGCAAAGCACGTACGCACGCCGGCATCATTCAATGCACACTGGCCAGCGGTCACGCACGCCAGCACACCCAGCAGTGTGCCAGCAGTGCCCAGCTAGCCTCGGCGATGCCCGGCAGCACGCCCGAGCGCTCCGTCGTCCTAGTACGCGTAGCCCATGCACCAGCCGCCTGTCCGTGATGCGTAGTTGTGTCCGGCAGTGCTCGTGCGAGT